AGCCGCGGGCAAAGGCCAGCTGATGTGACTCGGTAAAATATGATTTTCAAAAGAATATTAGGATTTAGTTCAAAAAAAAAAAATGATTCGCCACTCATGCTAAGGCATAAGGGAAATAATCCGGGAATGTATAGGCAGATATTTATTTTTCAAAAAAAAAGGATGGCATATAAACAGATAATGAAAGTCTAGTCGTAGTCGTATTTAGTTTTACTTCCAACGAAATGGCATGATAATGCGACAAAGCCCTGCGGATCTTCCGCTAGTAAAATGAGAAAAGACATATCACAATGCGAGAAAGCTCTGCGGAACTTCCGCTAGTCCAAAAATGGGAAAATGCCTTCAAGTGTAAGTTTAAATGACGAAAATGAGCGCTGACGACGAAAATCCGCTCGGGTTTGATCGAAGGCGATGATAGTGACCGACGACGATAGCAGCAGCGTCAATGCGGCGTCGTTGATCGGTCGTCGGTCACCTCGGACGGTCGGAAAGTTGTCTCTGAGACGTGTTCGTATGGGGGATTTACGTGTGTACGCGAAGGCAACCCGAACCACCACCACCCGAAGGCCGATCACGATCGGTTGGTGAATCATCATCTCCTCTTTGGCGATGTGTTCTGATACAACAACAAGGATTTCAAGGCTTGAATTCGCCTCGCAAGCTTCAATAAGCGATTCCTTGTATGCCTATAGGGGTTGTAAATATCATAGGCAAGAAGTTCGCTGTGATTTTGCTTGTGCGATCGCACCTCGACGCCAAAATCTCTACAATTGCTGGGGGTGTCGAAGGGCACCGCGAAATACGTTGAGCTGATTTTTCGCATTCCGCTTGCAGAATTATAGAGAACGGATTCAAGCCTTGGCGCGACCGCTACTATCAAGGGAAGGATACTGGTCAAAGTGGTTTTTTTTCCATATGCGTACACTATTCTATGGAAAATGGACCGCTGGTTTCAAATCTGCCTTCCCTATGTGCAAAGAGCTTCTGTGAAAATAGTTACGGGCATTTTTTGAAGTAAAAATTCAAGGTTGGCTAATTTGAAACCAGTCGTTGACGTCTTTCCGATGTCTGAAAGGAGTAATGCTAGCGACGTCTAGTCTAGTAATGCTTTACTAGACTAGACGTAACAATTACATAAAGCACCTTAGCAGTAATCACATCCCCGTTTGAGCTCATAGATACAGTTTTGAGAGTTTTTGTAGCGAAGTGCTCAAATTTTTTCATCTGAAAGTTCCCATAACTTCACTCCCAAGATGTGCAATAACAAAAGCAGATTTGTAAACAACGTTCCCTGCATGGGACAGTTTACATTTCATATGGAAACGCCACTTTGACCAAGTTTCCTTTCCTATAAGGTAATTTCAGGGAAAAGCGCATTAACGAATTTTCGCACGCTGGCAAATTCCAGAAAACTGAAAATACACCCGATGGCGCATGTTGCTTACTTTCTCCCTTTGAGTTTTTGAAGATGGATTGCTGCTTTTTTGTTAGAATAAAAATGCGAACGGCCTTGCAGAAGCTCGTAGTGAGTTTTGCGAGCTTCTGCGAGCTGAGTGCAAAAAAATCCGTCTTCCTTTTTTCTTTGCCTGGCGACTTGTTGCTTTTTCTATTCTGATTTTCGCAAATCAGTTGCTGCTTTTCTAGAGGAGGAAAACAAAGCACCTAGACCTAGAAGAAGCCATAAACTGTTCTAGTATTCAGATGTCGAAATGCGAGAAGCCACTCC